CCGGGGCCGGGGGGGGCCCGGGGGGGGCCCGGGGGGGGTCGGGGGGTTGGGTGGACGAGGTAAGGAAGGCGTGGAGGGAGGAAGGGACGGGGGCGTGGGGGATCGTGGGGAGGAGAGGAGCCAGGCTTAGCCGAGGACAGGCAGCGGGGGTGGGGGATGTGAAGGTGGGAGGCGAGCCATAGAGCGTCCACCCCTAGCGAAATTAGGCACCTGGAAGTTTACCTTTTCCCGCAAAACGAACCCTTTCGGGTGCCAGCCCGGGGCGGCGCTGAGGTTGGGGATGGAAAAGGGCAAAGGAGTCGGCCCTGGCTAAATACCTCCCTTCTTCCGGACCACCATCTCCGCTTTCGATCCCGCAACGCCCCGGGGAAGAGGAAAGTGGCAAACTCCTCCCTCCGCCCGGTGGGAACCGGCGAGGGTCAGAAAGAGGGGTACGCGCCTCTCTCGGCCTAAAGCCCTGACCTGGGTGTTTTCTCTGCCTCCCGGACCACGGCCTGGAGCTGGGGAGCCCTTCCTGCTGCCCCTGCCCTCACCTCGGAGTCGTGTAGACCTGGCTCCCTCGCTGATGGACCTGGGGACACCTATACGCCTTCCTCCTTGTCCTCCTGATGGTCCTGACAAGTGGGTGGTGACAGGCTTGTCTTCACTGCCTGCTGAACCTCCGAGCTTGATTTTTTTCAGCTCTTTTCTCCCAGGCGGGGTCAGGTTCATTCTCTCAGTCATTGTGGCAACAGATGCAGGCCTGATTCTCAGCGATGGGGTGATGAGCAAGCAGAGCTTCCACTCTAGGGTGGGGGTGAAGGTAGAGGAAGACAGGACAAAATAAAATAATTTCAGGTTCTGGGAGTGCCCGAAGAAAGGAAAACGTGCAGGGCGTGGAGTAGGGGGATGCTGTCTTGGATAAAATGGTCAGGGAGGGCCTCTCTCAAGTGTTCCGGGACTGAGGGGGCAGCAGGGGTGAAGGTATGCGTGAAAGAAGAGCCGTGTGCTTGCAGCAGGTGAGCTGGGGGGAGCCTGGGAGGAAATGAGATGATGGCACGTGCCCCAGAAGGATCTGGATTTTATTGTAAAATCAGCAAGGCTTCATGGAAGCCTGTGGAAGGTGTGTGTGAGCAAGGCAGTCATACTTTCCCATACCGAGCTCCCCACTGTCCTGGGCTTTCTCAGCATTTTCTGGTGGGGCCAGGGGCTGTGACCAAGCCAGTTGACTTTCCTGCCAGCCCCAGCTGAACATGGCCCCCTCTGACACTCTGGGTTCTCCTCTGAAAATAATGTGAGGTGATAACTCCTACCTCACAGGGTGCACACCCAGGCCAACCTGTTGTCATCCTCCCCCACAGGGCCTGGCCACCCCTCCCACAGAATGCCTGAGGGCCCTGAATTGCACCTGGCGAGCCACTTTGTGAATGAGGAATGCCGGGGGCTGGTGTTCAGCGGGTGCGTGGAGAAGTCACCTGTCAGCCGCAACCCGGAGGTGCCCTTTGAGAGCAGTGCCTACCACATCTCAGCCTTAGCCCGTGGCAAGGAGCTGCGCCTGATACTGAGCCCCCTGCCTGGGGCCCAGCCCCCACGGGAGCCACTGGCCCTTGTCTTCCGCTTCGGCATGACTGGCTCCTTCCAGCTGGCCCCCAGCGACGTGCTGCCGCCCCACGCCCACCTGCGCTTTTACACAGCTCCACCTGGCCCCCGACTCGCCCTCTGCTTTGTGGACGTCCGTCGCTTCGGCCACTGGGAGCTTGGGGGCGAGTGGCAGCCAGGCCGCGGGCCGTGTGTCTTGCTGGAGTATGAGCAGTTCAGGTAGGGCCAGCACCAGGTGTGATGGACACAGTCCTGGGCTCCAGGCCTGGCTCTGTTAGCGCCTTGCTGGCCAATGAGCAACAAGTTCCAGCCCCCGCTGGGCCTCAGTCCCTTCCTCTGTAGACCAAGGCAGTGTCCTTCCCTGTGGCAGCTCCCTGAGATAATGGGAAAACCCAAAACTGATGTGGGAGGAGGTGGGGGCAAGAGGTGGATGGGGAGGCATGCCCTGAGGACATGCCAGTTAGTGTCAGAGCCGGAGCTCATGTCAGCATCCCACACTGCTTCTTGGCACCCTCAGGAGGCTAAGAAGAAAGAAAGGTGGAGGGGCTTTAACAACAGGATGAGAAGGGAAGCTGAGCAGGAAGGAATTGCTTCAAGGGGGTGGGGAGGGGGCTGCCTAATGATATGGTTTCTGAAGCAGGTTTTGTGGTCTCCCACATTCTGCCTGCCCACTGGTCTGTGTCTCATGGTCTCTGTGACTGTCTTCTGCCTGAGGGAGGGCCCCACTGGAGTTTCTCTCACATGATGAGCATCATGGCTGTTTGTTTAGTCCTCCAGCTGCGGAGCCTGAGGGGATCTGCTCCCCTTGGGGATCTGACCATCTTAGCACCCAGGCTAGCCTTCCCCTCTTACCTTTTCCCCAGAACTCTGAACAGAACATATGATCCTGTGCCCATCACTGCGTCAGCCTCGCATTAACCCTTTTCCACAAAGAAAAAAGATGCATTTCATGGTGATGAGGAGAGACCCATGACCCTTGGAGGAGGGATGGGGGCTGTCAGGGCACGGCACTCACCAGCCAGGACTTGCCCCTCACTCGTGCTGCACAGAGCCAGTACCAGCTTCCTGGAAGATCTTCAGCATCTTGAGAAGAGCTGACCCCACCAATGTCAAATCCTCATATCTAGCCAGAAGTCCTAGACAGGGAGTTCCAGACTGCAGGCACACCCAAGGTCCTGTGATCACCTTGTTCTCAAAAATGTCTGAGTCTGAGGCACTTTGGTGATATATACACCATGTACAGACTCATGTTTTCTTGAAGATGCTGCTTTTGATTGATATTTTTTACCTTTTGTAATGAATTAGAATCTCATATTGTTGTTCCCATTTATCAGAAAACTGAGGTCCCTGCTGCCAAAATACCACTGAGGCTGGGAAAAGGGGAACTGGGACTCCCTATTTCCTTCCCTTGCACCCTAGCAACTCCCCCCCAACCCACTGCAAGGCAGGGAGGGGTGGGACAGGCAGAATAGGTTTCATGTGCCCAGGTTGTGTTCCTCCAGGGAGAACGTCTTACGAAACCTGGCAGACAAGGCCTTCGACCGGCCCATTTGTGAGGCCCTCTTGGACCAGCGGTTCTTCAATGGCATTGGCAACTATCTGCGGGCAGAGATCCTGCACCGGTCAGCAGGCAGGCCCTGGGCATGTGGGCTGGGGTGGCTGGGTGTGCTCACATTCCCCACTGCTTAGCCTGGCTCCCTTGCCACCTCACTGCAGGCTGAGGATACCCCCCTTCGAGAAGGCCCGCACGGTTCTGGAGGCACTGCAGCAGCGCAGGCCGGTGAGGGTGCAGGGAGGGGTGCGCACACACCTATCAGTGCAAGGTTGATGGGTATGGGCTCGGTTGCATGTCTCCAGCTTTGCTCAAGCAGGTCCCTTCTCCACTTCTAGCCTGTTTCCCTTTCTCTACAGTGCTGGGGGGCGGGGCAGAGATGAACCTCTCAGAGTCCTGCCAAGTTCAGAAGGGATTCCCTGGGGGTCAGCTTCTTCTGAGTGGCCCTGCCTCATACTGACAGCCAGGTCCTCCCCCTGCCCCTTCTCCAGAGCCCAGAACTGACCCTGAGCCAGAAGATCAAGGCCAAGCTGCAGAACCCAGACCTGCTGGAGCTGTGCCACTCAGTGCCTAAGGAAGTGGTCCAGCTGGGTGAGGCCTGGGAGGCAAGGATGGCCAATAAGCTCTGTTTCAGCATGTCATGTAACCTGGGACAGCTCCTATCCACCCCTTTCTGGGGCCTGGGTCCCTACCTGGGGAATGGAAGTTTGTGGACCTAGTTTTTGTAAATGGACTAGGCCTCCTTTACTGATGTTCACTTGTCAGGTGTCTATGTCCTCTGAGCTGCCCATGAGGCAGGTAGGGCAAGAATTCTTTCTCCAGGATGGGAAAGCCATGGTCCAGAGTGGGGAAGACACCAGCCTGAGGTTACACTGCTAGAGGAGGGAGAGCTTTGGTCCCCTGACTCCGTCCATCAGCTTGTGGAGCTGAGGTCTGAGCCAGGTCTAACCAAGTTCCCCCTCCTCCCAGCGTAAGTCAGCCCTCTGACCTCCGCCTGGTTCCTCTGTCCCACAGGGGGCAAAGGCTACGGGCCGGAGAGCGGAGAGGAGGACTTTGCTGCCTTCCGAGCCTGGCTGCGGTGTTATGGCATGCCAGGCATGAGCTCCCTGCGGGACCGGAATGGCCGCACCATCTGGTTCCAGGTTTGGGTCCTAATGCTCACACAGGCAAAAGGAGTCCCTGAGGAAGCTGATGGGATGAAAAGACCTGGGGTCACACTGTTCATGAGGGTCAAAGCCTTCCCTGTGCTATGCCTCTCCCCTCCTCTGAGTCCCACGGTCCCAGCTAGTGGAGCAGCCCAGGGCTCTCTCGCTGTGTTGGCTCTGACCTGGGGGGAGGAGATGGTCAGAGAGGCTTCCTAGGAGAAGCCTGATCTGGAAGGATAGGTGTGAGTTCTGCCTCTCCGAGAAAACTACCCTGCCAGGGTGACTCCTGAATTCTCATTCCATTTCAGGGGGATCCTGGACCCCTGGCACCTAAAGGTAAGCTACTCCTAATGCAGTAAGAGACTAGGTGCCTGCAAGGGCTACAGCACCCTCCTCCATCCCAGTCCCCACTCTGACCCTGGGAGTCACCCCAGAGCGGAAGAATAGGAGTCTGGAGAAGGAGGGCTGAGGCCACAGGATCCTCCAGCCCCATCAGCATCAGTGTCCTGCAGGGGGCAAGTCCCGCAAGAAGAAATCCAAGGGAGTGCGGCAGGGTCCTGAGGACAGAGTGGAGGTATGGCTCCCTGCTCCCACCTCCTCCCTGCACTGTCCCCTGTCCTGGCTATTCCTCCCAAGCCAGGCTCTGGGGAAGCTCCTTCCCTTGGCAGTGGAGGGCAGTGGTGGGTCCTAACCAACCTCTAAACTGCTGAGCTGCTCAGGGACCTGGGTGTCCTCCACCCAGGACCCTCCACCTCCAAACAAGTCCCCTTCAAAGACACGCAGGGCACGGAGAGGCCTTCCTGAGCAGACTACAGCCCAGCAACCCAAGGGGCCCAGCCTCCAACAGGACCCAGAAGTGCCCCCAGTCCCTGAGAAAGGGAAAAGGAGGAGACGACCAGCAACCTCAGGTGGGTCTTTCTCAGCGAGGTAAGGGGCATCCCCAAAACAAGCTCCCCAGGGGAGGAAAGGATGGCAGAGCCAGCAGGAGGGACATGTGGACAATGGTGGGAGGGAGGCCGTTGGGTCAGTCCTCAGCCTGGGTCTGAGCTGCCATCTCACCTGTCCTTCCCCTAGGCCGCCATCGACCCCAAAAAGTCAAGGCTCACACCCCATCCTTGGAGCCTGAGGGGACCTCGGCCTCTTAGCAGAAGGGAGGCTTGCTTGCATCCACCCTTTCCCACTGCCTTGCCCTGGATCTGGGAGCCTGTGTGGCTTCCTAGAATTTGCAGGGGACTGGATGCCCCTGGCCCTCTGGCTGTTTCCTGCACAACTATGATGTTTTAAATTGTACCCCACCTTCTCCATTTTTTTAAGCCACGTGGAAAATGCTGTAATTTCCTATAAACTGATAAAGTTGAATTTCTTGGCACTTTTTGGGCTGCTTGCAGAAGGTGTGGAAAGGCCAAGTGTGAAGGGCCTGCTGCCCAGCCCTGGGGACGGGAGGGCCACTGCCTCAGCATGGCATACTGAGCCCCATTCCAGGCCTCAGGGCCCTGGCTCTCAGAGGACAGTCTGCCTCTGCAGGGACAGCCCTTCACAGGTGGTGCAGAGACCCCTGGCCCAGGCAGCCCAGGCTCCACATCTCCAGTCCAGGATTCCTCACAGCCGGCAGCTGCTCCCCTAACCTGCTCCAGACTAGTCAGTCCCCTCCTAGCAGGGGCCAGCCAGAACCCACCCGCTAGGCCTTCCCCAGCCCCAGGCCTTCCCCCCAGCCCCAGGCCCTCTGCCTGTGGACACAGGGGAACAACTTATCTCGTGGTCTCTTAGTCAGCTTATGGTCACTGAAATCCCCAGTCTCTCTCATGGGGGATGCAATCCAGACCGTGCACACACAGGTAACCGTAGATCTTGCCCCTGCCCCCAAATCCCTGGCGTAAAACCTTCCCCTCTCAAAGCCTGAGGATGGGTGGGCCCTGAGGGGAATAAGCAGGGGCTACTAACAGGGTTTCCAAGCCAAGGGTTTATTGTTCAAGAGGTGACTGAGCCTTGCTTCAGGCTGGGACGCAGAAATGAGGAGCCTCCAAAGCCTTCCATAAGCAAAACCCCATCCTCGGGGACTCAGTTCGGTGGGGGCTGCAGCACGAGCAGCAGGGACTGCACTTGGAAGGGAGAAAAGGTGAGCTTCAGGCGGGCGTCCTGAAGGGGCAGGGGGCCAGCAGGGTCGCGCCGCTCCAGGAGGTCACAGCTAGAGAACAGGAGGGGCCGTGAGGGTCCCGCGAAGGCAGGAATCCCACTCCTACCCCGCGCCCCCACTCACAGGACGGCCTCCTGAACTGGCAGCGACGTGTGCAGCCAGCAGTCGACGTGGCTGCCGTGGGCCTCGTACAGCCTCAGGACCAGCGTGCGGCCCTGGGGGCTGGTCTCTGCCTGCGGAGGGAGGCAGGCGGTGGGCGGTGCTGAGGCGGGCCCGGCCCAGGACCCC